CCCTTTGGTTGTCGGCGCATCTTTGGTTTTCGGCGTCTTTTTTTGTAATCGGCGCTGCTTTGGTTTTCGTTCTCCTTTTTGGTGTTCTGCGGCCTCTCGCGTTTTGGCGCCCCTTTGGTTTTCGGCGCCTTTTCGGTTTTCGGCGCTTCTTTGGTTCTCGGCGCCCTCGTGGTTTTCGGCGCCCCTTTGGTTTTAGGCGCTCCTTTGGTACTCGGCGCTGTTGTGGTTATCGGTATCCTTTTGGTCTTCGGCGCCCCATTAGTTTTCGGCACCGTTTTGGTTTTCGGTGCCCTTCTGGTGTTTGGCGACCCTTTGGTTGTCGGCGCCCTCATGATTTTCGGCGCCCCTTTGGTCTCTGGCGTCCTTCAAGCCCAGCGACCTTTTGGTTTTTGGCGCCCTTTTGGGTTTCGGTGCTCTTTGATTTTCGGCGCCTTTTTGGTTTTCAGCGCTGCTCTAGTTTTCGGCGCTCTTTTGGTTTTCGGCGCCTCTTTGGTTTTCGGCGCCCTGCTAGTTTCGGAGCTTGTTTTGGTTTTCGGCGCCTCTTTGGTTTTCAGCGTTCGTTAGGCTTTCGGCGCCGTTTGATTTTCGGCGCCCCTTTGGTTTTCGGCGCTTTTTTGGTTTTTGGCGTTCCTTTGGTTTTCGGCACCCTTTTGGTTTTCGGCGCACCTTCGGTTTCCGGCGCCCCTTCGGTTTTCGGTGTTGCTTCGGTTTTCGGCGCGCCGCTGGTTCGGTTTTCGGTGGCTCTTTGGTTTTCTGCGCTCTGTTGGTTTTTGGCGCCCTTTTGGCCTTCGGCGCTCTTTCCTTTAGTCAAAGGGGGGGCGGGCTTCCAAGCCCTCCTTTCTTCAGCCCAAAGGGGGGATGGTGGGGTGGGCTTCCAGATGGGGAGGTTCAAAGCGGGGGGGGGCAGCTAAGCCCCCCCGTTTGGAAAGATAAGGGGGGGGGTAGGTAGCTTCCGGGGCGCGAAGGGGGGGGAGGCGGGGGGAGCTTCCAAGTGGCGGAACAAAAAGGAGAGGGGAGAGGCTTCCGGCAAGGGAGGTGCAAGGGGGGGAGCTAAGCCCTTCCTTTGGACAGGGAGGGAGGGTGGGGTAGCTTCCGGAGCGTGGAAGGGAGGGGGGGTACCTTCCGAGGGGCGGAAAAAAAGGGAGGGGGAGGGGGCTTCTGGCAAGGGAGACCCAGAGGGGGGGTGGGGGGTGGGCGGGGGTAGCTAAGTGACCCCCCCCTTTGGGAGTGTACCACGGGGGGCGCGCTTTCTCTCAGGTACGCCCATCTACTTATCCCCGAGAGGGCCTGCTATTCTGGGAGAAGCGCAGATGGAACATCGTCCTGGGACGGTTCCGTGGTGATTTTCCATCTGGGGTGTTCCCCAATGCAGCAGGCACTCTCGGGCATAAGTCTGGGGGTGTACCCTAGCCAAAAAAGTGGTAATTATCTTACTGGAAACACTTTTTGGTAATAACTTATTGGGGAGTTTTTTTTCTCGGTTGGGCCTTCCAAGTGGATCCCAAGGGGAGGGCTATATATAAAAAACACATTGGAACGGCGACCCAGAAGGCTCCTGAGAGCGGCCCAGGTGGAAAATCATCCTTTTCAGGTTCCACATATCACCCCGGAACGGTACCAGGGTGTTTCTGGAACCTGAAACGGGTGGGTGCCTGCTCAAGCTGTGCACCATGCTTTCGAAAGCGCATCGGAAGTCAAGACTGGCATCGGCTCATAACAGTTTGTTGCCATATGCGGCCTGAAAGCCAGGGCGCCTTCTTGTTTGGAAATCTGTTTCGAGATCGCTGGATTTCCTGGTCTCTGGATCCCCTCGATCCCGACCCGCTTTGTGCACTGTGCGTCGAGGCTAGCCAATGCTTGCGAACAGACTGTCGGTTGCCTGACCAGAAAATGAAGCTTGCGTCGTGGACGTATGTTGCATGCCTGTCTTTCCACATCGGGCTTCGAATCTGGCCGTCGATGTAAGTCGCTTCCGTGGGTTCATGGGCTCAACCGTGCCCTCCCACCCGTGGGCCTTGTAAAGATGCTTTGCGCAGAGATCGCTGGATTTCCTGGCCTCTGGATCCTCTCGAGCCCGAGCCGCTCTGTGGACTGTGCGTCGAGGCATGCTTACGAACAGACGCTGCTGGCTGCCTGGCCAGAGGGTTCTGGCCGTGGATGCATGCATGTACGTAGGTGTACCTATATCTATCTATCTATATATCTATCTATCTATCTATCTATCTATCTATCTATCTATCTATCTATATATCCATCTATCCATATATCCATCTATCCATCTATCTATATATCTATCTATCTATCTATCTATATGTATATCTATCTATCTGCTTATATATCTATCTATCTATCTATCTATCTATCTATCTATCTATCGATATCTTTCTAGCTATCTATATCTATATATCTATCTATATATATATCTATCTATCTATATATCTATATATCTATATATATCTATCTATCTATCTATCTATCTATCTATCTATCTATCTATATATATCTATCTATCTATATATCTATATATATATCTATCTATATCTATCTATCTATCTATCTATCTATCTATCTATCTATCTATCTATCTATCTATCTATCTATATATCCATATATCTATCTATATATTTATATATCTATCTATCTATCTATCTATCTATCTATCTATCTATCTATCTATCTATCTATCTATCTATCTATCTATCTACACCTACATCCATGCCTGCGTGGCCCCGAGTCAGAAGGTCTTGGCGCGCCTTGGATAGTAACGCACGTGATGCACAGGCGTCTCAGCGGGCGTTTCTCGAGGGGCAGGGCTGCCTGGGGGGGGGAGTGGGAGTGGGAGGGGGAGTGGGGGAGGGGGAGGAGGAGAAAGACGGGAAGGGGGAGGAGGGGGAGGAGGAGGAGGAGGAGGAGGAGGAGGAGGAGGAGGAGGAGGAGGAGGAGGAGGATGCCTCTTGGGGCAACCCCGCGGGCGGCCACGGGCCCGGGACGCGGCGAGCCCCGGGGGCGCCCCGCAGGCGGCGGCACGGGCGGTGGGCACAACGGGATGGCAGCAGGCCGGAGCGTGGCGAGTCCTCGGGACACCCATCCGCTTCCTTAGGTGCGCAAGTAAGAACCACTGAGTGTAAGCAGTGCTTTGGGGGAGCACACATGTATCTGCGTCTGTCTGAGTGTTAAACAGTGCTCAGACAAAACCGCTGAGTGTAAACAGTGCTCAGATAAAACAGGGCTAGGATCGGGATAAATCGCTCCAGAGCGTTCCGGAGCGCTCTCAGGGCGTTCCGGAGCGCTCTGGAGCGGCCGCGGCGCCCAATACATCCTCCGAACCCGCCGATTCTCAGAGATTTCGAGTTATCCCGATCCGATTTTGTCCCGATCTTCGCGTCGTTTTATTAGATGCGCAAGTAAGAACCACTGAGTGTAAGCAGTGCTTTGGGGGAGCACACATGTATCTACGTCTGTCTGTGCGTGTCTTTTTATATGTGGGGCGCTCCAGAGGGGGTCTCGCTGTCGAGGATCGAGTGAGTCTGCATGTCTTCCTCGGCGGAAGGCGGCGGGAGCGTGGCGGAAGCCCGCGGGAGTAAAGCGAGGCCGCCTCCGCCGGCGGAAGGCCGGCGGAAAGCGGCGGAAGTACAAGATGCGCCCTCAAGAGATGGCAGCGTTTTGGGTCCAGGGTGTCTGGTACCCGCCGCACATGTGTGTATTTATATATGTATATGTTTATGCATATGTATATGTAATATAAATGTAAGTGTACATGTTTATATTTATGTACATGTACGTACATATGTACATGCATACGTGTAGGTACATGTATATGTATATGTATGTATGCATGTGCATATGGATATGTATCTTGAAGCGCACTCATATACACAGATAACTGCACATGTATGTGCATGCATGTCGGCATGTATGGAAATATGCACGCCTGCATGCATGCTTCGGTGTATGTATACACATATGTATGTACGCACGTAAGTACGGACGGATGGATGGATGGATGGTTGGTATGTGTGTATGTAGGCATGCATGCATGCATGTATGTATGCGTGTATGTATGTCTGTAGGTATGTATGTATGTACGTATGCATACGTTCATGTATGTATGTATGTATGTATGTATGTATGTCTGTTTGTATGTATGTGATTATGCTTGTATGCGCACATGCTTTTGATACAGACACGATGCACACACACATATTTATACATATATATATATATATGTATATATGCATGTGTGCATGCATGCGTGCATGTCTGTTTGCATGCATGCATGCATGTATGTATGTATATTCGCGCACACATAACACGCCCTGGGCGCTCGGGAGGCCAACACCAGTGCCTGGAATCGTCATGGCAGGACCGGAGGCCGGAGTGCCTCCACAATGGGCCCAAAAAGGCCCCTCAGTGCCTCGAGACGGCCCTCGAGCCCGCCAAGACGGCCCCAGACGGCCCCAGACAGCTCAAGATGGCCCCAAGAGGGCCCCAAGAGGCCTTCAACCCGCATCTCCCCCGCTCCGCCTCTGGTCGTATTGTCGACGATGCTCGTTCGATGCTGCACCGTAGGCAATTTGGCCCGAAGAGCGCCTAGGGGGCGAAACAAAAGGAAACTGAACAGGGGCTACCTGTCCTCTTACAAAGCAAAACGAGTTAGGCTGCTTGAGGCCTGGTGCAGCAATTGCGGCCTAAGACGGGCTCTCGTGCGGAACGGGAAGCCGAAGAGGTAAGAACGGACCCTCCTCAGAAGTTTGCTCTGCCTCAGGAACTTGGAGTACAAGAGTGCAGAACTGCTCGAAGTGTTCAGCCACCCAACTGGAGTACTGGAGCACGTGTGAAAGCGGCAGAAGCAGACCACCGCCGCAGCACAGAGGGGGGAAGCAGGCTATCTCCCTCGCCTGTCCCGTCAAAGGCTCTTTTCGCTTAGCCTCTTCCCTTTTTCGCTTGAGACTCGACCCAGAACAACTGCCGCCACTTCCGCGCCCGCACCGCTCCGCGCCATGGCTGGCCTCGCCGCCGCGCTCCGCCGCGCGGCGGTGGCGGGCTGTGTCCTCCTGCGCGCCGCGGGCGCGGGGGGTGCTCTGCGGGGCGGCGCGGCCGTGCGGGGGCTGCTCGACGGCACCTTCGTCGCCAACTTCGTCACGGGGCAGATGGAGGACACCTCGTGGCACGTCGCTGCCCTGCTCCTCCTCCTCCTCCTCCTCCTCCTCCTCCTCCTCCTCCTCCTCCTCCTCCTCCTGGCTGCGGCCAGTGGCCTTGAAGCCCTTCGGCCACCGTGGTGGCGAACGGCTGAGCCCAATTGGGCCGCGTCCCAGGGCGGAAAGACCCGTCGTCTCATCAGAGCCCTCAGATCGCTCCTCCTCCTCCTCCTCCTCCTCCTCTCCCTTTCTCCTCGTCCCCGGTTCTCCTCCTCCTCCTCCTCCTCCTCCTCATCACCATCACCGTCATCATCATCACCATCATCACCCTCCTCCTCCTCCTCCTTCTCCCTTGTCCTCCTCCTCCTTCTCCTCCTCGTCCTCCTCCTTTCACCCTATCCTCCTCCTCCTCCTCCTCCTCCTCCTCCTTCTCCCTTTTCCTCCTGCTCCTCCTCTTTCTCCTCTAATTCTATCTCCCAGTGCAGCCGAAGCCTGTGACTTTCGGCAGCCCGCAAACCCGCCCCTCCATCTGGAGGATGACATAAGGGAAAATATTCACTCCAATTCAGAGTTCGTGGGAGGCCTCTTCTGACGCTTCTAAATTCTGAGCTCATCAAGCTTGAGGCTCCAGGCATCCTCACTCTGCAGTGTCAAGCCGTACCTCGATGCGAGCTGCTGGGCCGTCCACGTCTCCCCCAGACTCCACCACCCACCGGCTCACCCGACTCCCCCGCTCCAAGGTCGAGAGAACGCAGAGGAGAGCCAGTAGCACGGGCAGCTAGCTCTAGGTCGAACAGTAAATATGCTCCGCTCCGCCTCATACTCAATTAGAACTTAACTTAGTTTGCATGCAATGAACTGTCCGCGTGAACTGATGCTGCGTTTCTGCAGCTGTATAACTGCTCAAACCAGCCGGCCTCGGCTGGCAGGAGAGAAAAGGAGCGCGCTGGGCGCGCGGGCGATTCGTCGTCGTCCGTCCTCGGCCTTCCTCCTCCCTTCCTATTCCTGATAGAGTGGTTTAGCTTAACGGATATCTGTCTTATCGATGTCTCATCCCGCCTCCGCTCTCCCTGAGCAGAGTGAACATGAGATCTTAATTCCTTTGTCATCTTACCCCGATTCTCAGAGGAAAGACTGGTTATCAGCCGAAACGCGCGACCCAGTAGACGCGGGGCCATTAGATATAAAAAAAGATCTTCAAGTCGTGCCCCGCGATTCAGTCGCTGCGGGAGAGAGCTACGATAAGACTGACATCGTGTCTAATATCTCGAGAAACGCAGATTGGCGCGTTGAACAACATGATGGACACGAAACAGATACAATCGGTCCTATTCGAGATCAAATCCCTCCTTGAACTATCGCCGATCGGGTCACGAGGGGGAGAAGTACTGATGGGATAACCGAAATGTCGGTAGACATACCCACAGTAGAGGCTCCGATAGGTGATCGTGAGCAAACCCCCGACCCTCACGGGCGAGAAGGTGTCACGCCAAGGGCCAGACGAGGTGCATTCTCTTCCAGGTTGAATGCCAACTCGACGGAGTCGATAAGTCCCATCCAGAATGCTCCACTAGTTACTGCCATTGCCGCTGGCGAAGCCAGCCGGCCAGGAGAAGCCCAAGGGAATCCGAATGCGTATCCTAACATCCCCCGTAGACTGGGTGGGTATGCATGTTGCTGCTCCAACCCCTATAACACTCAACGGACAACTCGGTCAGGATAGCGATGATCCAATGGACAAAGATCACGAAATATATCCCATGGAAGAAAATTTTGATAGTATCAACAGTGATATTTCCCTGAGCCGAGCGTTGTCCGTGATGGTGGATGAGGGTATCCCTGCTCGTGACAAAAGTTGGTCTCCATATGGATCCGATGAAGACGCTAGTATCCTGGCGCCTCAGGCGAACAGGACGGAGACTCAAACGAAGCATGAGAGGGAGTCCACTGGGCGAACCCCTGCGCCTAACCTCAAGAAACAACAGAATGAGGACTATGAGCTAAACGTCTCGCCATTAAAGGAAGGCTTCTTCCGTAGCGCCACCACCTCAGGTGAGTGGCAACCCACCATTCCGGCTGTTGTTGAGGACGAAGAAATGGTCGGACAGCAGGATATATACTCTCAGCTAATTAAACAAGACGAGAAGGATGAGGAGCTACTAAATGCGCCCAAACCACCAGAAAGTACTTTTGCTCGCCCCAGACCGAACGCTTCGAGCAGGGGAAGGCCCAAAATACCAAGGTCAGGGGCGAGGTCTACCTCTAGGAGCAACAGTACAGTTTCTATGATGGAGGTATGTTGGAATCCAAATCCTGGCCGCGCGCCTCGGGCGGAGAACAGATGCCCAGGAAAGGCCAACAAGCCCGAAGGCGCATGTAGGAACCCAGTGTGCAGGAATTGCTCGGACGTTTTGTAACAAGTGTAACGTGCAATGGCTATGCGCGGAGTGCTACCCACTGGACGAACACAACTGCACATACCTCTTCTTGCAGTCTATTCAAGACCAGGCCAGGCTAGCAGAGGCTAACACTCAGAGAGAGTTTCTGACTAACGAGGCGAATCTGGCTGAGAGGGCCCGATTGGACAGAGAAGAATTAATTGAATCTGTGATCGAAGCCAAGGGCACGTTTGAGGCTGAACGGGTCGCCCTAGCCATGGCCGCTAGAGAGCGTGAACAAGCGCTGATAGAACATCTGCACAATCAGACTGAAGCCGTGAAATGGCAAGTGGAGAGGGAAGCAGAAGAAACATACAGGGAATTATTGACTTCGGAGAGACGGGCCGTCATGATGGCGAACGAAGAATCTGCGGACGCCCATGCGGTTGCCGCTGCCGCTGCGGTGGCCAAGATAGAAGGAGAACAAATCGCGACAGCCGTGGCGGAACGAGAAAAGCAGGGATTACAAGAAGAGCTCAAAGCCGCCAGGCTGAAAGCAGACAACACCCAAGCTGTAGCTGCGAAGATAAACAACCAGAACAATCTCTATCTAGAAGAGCTTAAATCGCATGAGGAAGCCAGATCGTCTCTTCAGCGTATAAAGTCGAGCGACGCTAAATGCCCGCCGGCTAAGCCGTTCGGGTCGAACATACACCAGCTTTCGACGGCTCAGTCGTCGAGCATTGCATCTGCCCCTACGCAATTCGACCAGACGACCGTGGCAAATGCGGGAGCATCGACCATGCTGGTAGGAGGTGCCATGCGCCCTCCTCCTGGTGGGAATGGAATCACGCTTCCCGTGGGCCAGTTTTGTGCCGTTTGTTTTCGACCAAAGACAGACAACTGCGTCGGATGTGGCAGCTCGGCTTGTGACGAGCATATCGATGCGAGTACGGGGAGATGCTCTAGATGCGACCTGTGGAAGAGTGAAAGGTCAGCGGCTAACATGCGAGAAGAAGAGATTGCATCGAACGCGGTTAACAGAGAGAGATGGGAAATATGAGGCTTAAGGCTATCATCGCCGACCCAAATCCGTATACTGAAACAAAACGTGAAGTCGGACTCACATCGAAGTCGTTCGGATTTCCGCTGCTTTCGCAAGAAACCCCCTTGAGGCCGTTGTGGCATCAACAGTATTCTGTCCCAGGACCTGCCCTTGAAGGTCCGGCTAAGCCGAGTGCCGCTGAAAGTGGACTCCCTGCAGGGATGAGGCTAACTGGACTTGACGAAAATAACGCCCTTGCCAATCTCCGCACAACCTATGGAGATGGTCCTAAGGGAACGACGGCGACTAAGTCGTCGGGCAATGCAGGACAGGGCGGAGAAGATGACGACAAGAGCGACGCTCCCAACACTGAGATCGCATCTTCGCACGGAGATGATCGAGGTAGAGGACCACGAGGATCGCCTCCGGGAAGTCCACGGGGGTCAGACCCCTCTGATGGTGGGGGTGGGCGCAGGGGGCCTCAAGGCCCCGGCGGACCGCGCGACTCGATAGTAATTGACGAGAGCACGCCGTTAGATCAGTGGAGACAGGTTGGTCACAACCAGAAAATTGATTTGTTGGACATCCCCGATGTTACGAACATGCGCGAGTGGAAAATGCACGCAATACGCGCCATCGCTGGGTCATCGCCAGAGAGCCAGGCAGCACAGCACTGGATTGCCGAGGCTATGGATCCAGCCGTGGAGGATGAGCAACTCAAAGATGCTGGACGTTTCCAGCGTCTCGACCTGTTGATCGCAACGAATCTTATCGAGAAGTTCAACCAGATGCGAAAGAGTCGATATCAGCCTCCTCATCATACTCATTTCCTTCAGGTTACTCGCATGGAATTCAGCGCCCAGGCCGAGGGAAGGCTCATGACTGGACGCGAGATAGTGCGGGCGATTTGTCACTGGTGTTCGGTAAGGTCGGAGTTGGGACAACGTCGCATTTCGCGTGATCTCTTCAAAGTGAAGATAGACCCGCGCAAGCCTGATGCTGACCTGTACCATTTCTACAATGAATGGACACACGTATATCAACAGCTTTATGGCGCAAAGCCTCCGTCCGATGAGATGAGGGCCTCGATTCATGCGCACTTTCTTGAGCAACGCAGAAAGCCGAACAAACTGGATTTTGTTTGTGAATTATATGACTTGTCAAAAGACAGACCGGGACAAGGTGTCAAGACTTGCGAGTGGCTGATGGAGCAGATTGAAGAAATGATGTTGCGAGAAAAAGAAGAGTGGAACATCAGCGCGCATGAGGGAACCTGAAACCAACGTGCCAGACAAGCGCGATTCGGCGGAGGCGGAGGCCATGACAATCGGAGGAATGCAGGCAATAAAGCCGCCCCGGCAGAGATTGCCGCTAAGTTGGGACAATCCTCGGATGTCATGAAAAGCGGGAAAACCAAGGGCGAAACCACGTGCAGATACGTTACCAAGGGCGAAACTTGCCCGTACGCAGGAAAAGGCTGTCCATTCAATCACAAGAAGCCCAAGAACGCCGCGCCAGCTCAGCCGAGTGCGGGACGAAAGTCCAGTGCCGCCCCTGGCCAGGATAAGAACACTAGAGGTAGATCAAAGGACAGA